GACAGCAGCAAGCACAGCGAGGCGCCCAGCGGCAGGAGAGGATTGGGGGAGACCTCGGCCTACATGTCCAGTGAGGGCGGCTATGACTTCATCTCCGGATTTGTTTTGACAACAGCCCACCCTGCCGTGAGGTGAGCTTTACTGCGTGGCTTCGAACATGACCCGTCCGTGGACACTTGCCGAACTCAATCCCAGGCCCTCGGGGGCCCCGATGTCGAAATCAGGTTCCACCTGGAAGCCCGCCACTAAACCAAAACTGGACTGGCTCGACAGGGTCTCCAGCTCCTCGTGCGAAAAGCTGTTGGACCTATGGGCCTCGGTCAATGGACATCTCAGAAAACGGTGTGGTAGGTCGTCTGTCTCGGCCCCACACGTGCACCTAGCGTCGTCTAACTCGTAGCCTGCTGCTTGGAGGCCTGACTTGGTCCAGATGGCCTGGCACAGGAAGGCGAGGAGGGTGGTTTTGTGGACTTTCGTTAACGTGGCTGATTGTAGGCTCTTCTGGACTATTGTGATACGTCAAGCTTGGCTCCCTCGAGGCCCAGTTTGGAGGCTGCGTGCTGTAGGAGCCTATCTTCCCAAGACTGTCTGGATGAGCTTCGGGGAGGTGCTGGCCAGGATGTGCTGGTTTCCTTTGAGGTCCAGGAGAATGAACGGGGACACGAAAATCCATTGGATGCGCTGGAGGCCCAAGTAGGCGGCGCCGATCGGTCCTCGGCAGATGCTCCACTCGGCTGGAGGGTTGTCTAACACCTCCTGGGACATGGAGCGCAGCTCTGGCAGCCCCAAGACCATGTGATGCGGTGCCTGTCGCCGCCCGCGAGACTAGCTGGCTCCACAATATAGGCCGACTGCTGGTCTCCAGTAGGGGTCGCCAAGGATGCACAACGCCAAACTGCTTGAGCGCGTGATGGGTCCGGGGCCCGCGTTCTTTAGGAAGAGCGACTGCGACTTGCGAAGCTCTACGTTGTCGATCCCCACGACCTCCGAACCGTAGAAGTGGGCCTGGTTGAGGCCTGTGTTGTAAACCTTCTTGGTGTCCCCTTGGGCCTTCTCGATGCTAGCGAGTCTTGAGGTCCTTGTTTTGAGATGGGCGCCTGCGGGTCGATTTCCCGATGCCTTGCTTGCGAGCGAGCACAGAGCGGAAGTCGATGCCGATATTCTGAGCGACCTGGACCTTCTGCTGTGGGCCCGCGTATTTGCCGAACTCGATCTCTAGGCGTTCCTGGATGTCTCTGGAAGAAGCGAGGACCGCTGACTTTTTCCGGCGACCTGGTACTGCAGGTCGTGCTTGGTTGCTGCGAGTAGCTGAAAGCACCCGTGGAGCAGCGCTGTCACGAGCTGCTTCTTGCACGGGTGAAACGACTGCAGCAACATATCGTCTATGAAGAGGCTGAGCTGAACTCGCGGGTGTGCTAGGACCCACTGCTGCAAGGGCTGCTTGCAGTACATTTGGGCTAGATATGTGGCGCAAGCGCACCCTGCTGGGATGCCTCGAATAGGGAAGCCAATGTAATGCACGATGTGATTGGATGTGGTGTACATGAATGCTTGATACTGATTCAAAATGACGGGGAAGATGGTTTTGTTAAACCCGCTGGCTTCGGCACGTGCTACCAGAGAAGCTCTGTTGATGTGCTCGTAGTAGTTAGGCATATCCCATATAACCGAACCTGTGTGTATGGGGCTCTTGCTGATGGCGGCGCTGTTCTACTTGGAGGGGCTGCTGATACTGATGATGCTGATGATGCTGCTGCTAATGATGTTGCTGATGATGATGCTGCTGACCCCCCTCCCCCGGGGGAGGCGCGACCCCTCCCGCCTCCGCCAATCCTGCGGCCTGGTCCCTGGCTCTACTTATAACCCGCCGATACAGGCGGCGCCGACCGCCCCACTGGCTCCGCCAGTGGGGTGCCCTGGCTATCCCCGAGTCGATGACGGGGCCCCTGCTATCCAAGCAGGAGGGGGATCTGGAGGAGGAGGAGGCGTAGGAGTAGGAGTAGGAGGATGAGGAGGAGGAAAAGGAGGAGCAAAAGGAGGGGGAGGAGGAAAAGGAGGAGGAGGAGGAAAGCAAGGAGGAGGAGGAGGAGGAGGAGGGGGAGGAGGAGGAGGGGCGGATCCTCCTCCTCCTCCTCCTCCTCTCCTCTCTCCTCCTCCTCCTCCTCTCCCTCCCCCTCCTCCTCTCCTCCTCCTCCTCCTCCTCCTGCTCCTCTTTGTTTTGATCCTCCTCCTCCTCCTCGTTTTCCTCTCCTCGCCTCCTTCTCCTTCTCATCCCAGTCCTTCCCCTCATTCCTCTTCCATTCCTCCCTCTCCTCCTCCTCTCTTCCTCCTCCTCCCCTGCCTTCCTTCCTCCCTCCCTCCCTGCTCCCTCCTTCCCCTTTCCAACTCCCTCCTCCCTCGCTCCCTCCTCCCCTCCTCCCTGCTCGATCGTTCTCCTCGACCCCTCCTCCCTCCTCCTGCCGCCTACGTGAAATCCCCATCACCCCCGGTCCAATGGCACCTTTGGCTTGCCTCCACGCGGACTGCTCTGCGCGGAGTGCTCGCTGGAGCCTGGCATCAGGGAGGGAGTGGCCAGGCAGCCCTGCGCAGAATGAGAGCTGGGCATCAGGAGGGGACGCGTTTGACGCCAACCATCCACCCGAACGGATCCTGGCTGGGCCAACCTTGGACCCTGGCTCGGTGCACGTGCTCACGCGAGGGGGCGCACACACCGATCCTGGAACCAGGACCGGCCGCGCCAGGACCAATGCGGGGGGATGGCTGGCGCCCCCTGACAGTCGACTGCACGCAGGAGTGATCTTGCGTAAGAGCGACCTCTGGTGTGCGGCCTCTTGGGGGCCGCGGGGAGGCGAACACACAAGCGCGCAAGACGCCGCCGCCGCATCGCGGTCGGCGATCGGGGGGCCCCAGTGGGCCCGCACCGGAGGCCACTCCCGCGAGAGGTCACTCCTCCGTGCAGGTCGGAACAGGAAATGCGCAGCCCTCGTGGCCTGAGCCAAAACGGCTCTGCCACGAGCGCGGGCCCTGCCATCACTCGAGCGCCGCGGAGGCCGGCCGACCGGCACCGCGGGAGCGCAGGCGCAGGCCAGCATACAGTCGAGGCGTTGACTTAAGGAACCCTAAACAAGGAAGGAGGCCCCTTTCTTTCATAAGTCAACCTTCGCCGCAACGTGACGGCGTGGGGGGCAGTCTCGTGAGAGCCACGGCGTGCTGCTGGTGCGGCTTCCATCGATGCGCGCCGCCTCTCGCTGGGCCTCGGGCAGGCTGCGCTGCCCGGCGGAGGGGGAAGAGGATGGGGAGAAGCAGGCGCGCAGGGACGAACGCGCAGGCGGGAGGCCGGGGCGGGCCGTTGGGGCTCGATGTTCCCCCCCCCCTGATTATGGGCCAGTGCCCCCTGCCGTTGGGTCGGGGAGGAGGAGGAGGAGGAGGAGGAGGAGGAGGAGGAGGAGGAGGAGGAGGAGGAGGAGAGGAGGAGGAGGAGGAGGAGGAGGCACGCAACGACGAACGCGCAGGCAGGAGGCCGGGGCCAGCCGGGCGGGAGGGCTCCGCCAGCGTCGCGGGCAGGCATCACGCCGCGCAGGCCGTGCGCTCGCGGCCTCGGCCCCCTTTTTGAGGCAAAGGGGGGGCGGCCGCCCGTTCCCTCAGGAGTGTTGGCGGAGGAGGAGGAGGAGGAGGAGGAGGAGGAGGAGGAGGAGGAGGAGGAGGAGGAAGAGGAGGAGGAGGAGGAGGAGGAGGAGGAGGAGGAGGAGGAGGAGGAGGACGAGTTGCAGGAGGATGGGAGGGCGGGCCTGCGAGGAGCAGGGAGGCAGGTGGTCCGTCGCGCAGCATATTGGTAGGAATGCCTCCGGGGCCGCCCCCCCATGGGGTCGGAGCAGGTGAGCGACGGAGAAAAAGCAGGGGTCTTACGCGAGATGGGCCCAGCAGCTCTGCGCGGCGGCCAGCGCGGGCCGCCAGCGCGGCACACCACAGTGGAGACGAGGGCGCCTGCGCGCGACCTCACCTCACGCGCCAGTGTCGGCGCAGACGACCCCGTTCTTTTGGCGTCGCTCAGATGGGGTCGGAGGACCGCGCCGCATCGCCAATGCATCGGCGATGCACTGGCGGCGTCGGCGATGCATCGGCGACGTCGGCTTGGAGAGAAGCGGGCTTCACATCAAGCCGCATCACCGACACACTGGCGATGCGGCGCGATCCTCCGACCCCACCTACAGTCAAGAACATTTGAATGGCGTGTCGCTCCAGTTCGCGGGGCGGGAGGCCGGGAAAGGCTTGGGACGTTGACGGCTGGGGACAGGGACATAGATAGCGTGTCGCGCCGAAGCGTGATGGGCCAGAATTGGCGGAGCGACACGCTATCCCCAAACTCCCGAACGTGGAGCCCAGGGACGCGACACGCGGCGCAGAGCCAATCTGGGGATGGGGGTCGGGAGCTTTGGGGGCACGCGCCGTGCGAAAGAGTACGCATCGCATTCCGCCCTCCTCTTCCACTCTTCTGCGGCAAACCATGGGAGCCTCCCGTGTCATCTTGCTGGTTTTTGCGAATCGACGCTATGCCATTGCGAATCGACGCTGAATTGACGCTAAGTCGACGCTAAATCGGCGCTTTCTCATCGATAACCAGACTCTGGGGCATGCTAATGCACTCTAAGAACGGAATCGCGAGGACACACAAAACTCCCATGATTTGGTGCCGAACCGTTCCGGGCGAGCCTGAGCGGCACGCGGTTCGTTCAAACGCCTGATGCTCGTGCCCTTGGGTTCAACATCCCCAACACGTTGTGCGGACGGAGTCTGGCTCTGGCCTGCGACTTCATAGCGTCCTCGGACTATGGCGGGGGCATTGGATGAAGAACCCTTGGATAACGAACGCAGGGTTGGGAAGCCGGTGGAACTCCAAACGTGGAGTGACCATGGATAGCACCGCCGCCCTCATCAGAGAAGCAAGGAATCCTCCAGGGTCTGAAGCCTCCTGGGCACACTCCTTGACGAACGCCCCCGCAGTAGTCTGGCTCTGGCCTGCGGCTTCGTGGACGGAAGGAACAAATGGAGGGAAGCTGGTTGCCAGCACCAGAGGAGGAGGGAGGAGGAGGGGGAGGAGGAGGAGGAGGAGGAGGAGGAGGAGGAGGAGAAGTCAGCGCCAGGGGCGTCAGCATCTCTTGTGCCAGTGCTGCCTTGCCTCTCTGCCCACTGCACGGATGGAGGGCTTGTCGGGTTTCGGACCCTGCGCCCCGCCTGGAGCATCCGCGTGGGGTGCGCCTTCGACGCGTGCCGGTGTACGACGGCTGTCTTCTACTTGATAGGTTTATCGCCAGACGCACCCTTCCATTTCGTGACTTCAAGCTTGAGCCTCACCAATCATGGGGCGGATAGGGGGGCCGCTTCTACCCGAAATCAGGGCGCAGGCTGTACAATCCTGCCACGTTTCGGCCCCAAGCCTCCGAACCTTGACGATTGTCCACCCAAGCGTGACGGCGAAACATGCGATCCCACAACGTGACAACAACACGGATTTCGCTACCCATCTGCCCTGGCCTTACGCATTGTCGCGGAGAAGAAGGTGTCGGCATTCTTCTGCATTTACTCCGACGGTAGAACCCCCGCATGATAATCTTCTCGGTTAGTCTGGAAGTAATCCTCATCGTCTTTCCCGTGATTGCCGAGGCTCTCTTTCTGTCTCCTCTGCGCCACTCTCTTTCTCCCCCTGGCGCAGGCCCTCCTCCCGCCCCATGCTTTGTGTCCTCCTCGCCCTCCTGCCTTCCATTCCCCTCCGCCACCTGCCCAACTCCTATTGCAAGGGCGTGCACATCGATTTTGCTTGGCGCCGTCGCCGTTTCGGTTGGCAAACGCGCGTTCTCCGATGGCCAGATCGCGAAGCCTAACCTTGACGACAATAACAGGGCCATCTGCCCGCTCGGATTGCTAACATGATCTGGCGTCCCCATAGGGAGGTGGGCTCAGCGACGACGCTCCCGCTCGAGACTTCCTCCATATCCACGCCTCAGGAGCCAAACAAACATGACGACAATTACATGATTCGGATGACCCGCTCGGATTGCTAACATCATCTGGTGGCCTATACGGAAAAGGCCTTCGCCTGAGACTTCCTCACAACTCACTCACAAACAGGGCTCCCGCTCGAGACTTCTTGCAGATCCACGCCTCAAACGTCCAAGCGTGACGAGATTTGATTACGAGGTTTGGATGACCCGCTGGGATTGCTAACAAAATCTGGCGGCCCCATATGGGGGGGCTCCCGTCTGACACCTCATCACACTTCACTCCCGGACGAGGCTCCCGCTCGAGACTTTCGTCCAGACTTACGCCTCAGGAGCCCAAGCAGAAATATATGATTTGCGTGACCCGCTCGGGTTGCTAACATGATCTGGCGGCCTCAGGAGCCCAAGCGTGACGAGCGTTACATGATTTGGATGGCCCGCTCGGGTTGCTAACGTGATCTGGCGGCCCCATTCGGAGGGGGCTCCCGCTAGAGACTTCATCACACTTCACTCACAAACGGGTCTCCCGCTCATTATTCCAGATCCACGCCTCAAGAGCTTAAACGCGAAGATAATTACAATGTTCAGGTGGCCCGCTCGGATTATGAACAGGACCTGGCGGACTCCATATGGGGTAGGGCTCCCGCTCGGGACTTCCTTGCCGATCACAAAGGGAGAGAGAGAGAGAGAGAGACAGACAGAGACAGAGAAAGAGAGAGAAAGAGAGAGAGAGAGAGAGAGAGAGAAAAAAGACGAGGCTCCCGCTCGAGACTTCCTCCATATCCACGCCTCAAGAGTGCACCACTAAAGGCAATCGCATCATTTTGATGACCCGCTCGGATTACTGACGTCATTTGGCGGCCCCATACGGAGAGGGGGTCCCGCTGGAGACGTCCGTGCAATTTGCTCGCAGGCGATGCTCCCGCTCGAGACGTCCTCCAATTCCACGCCTCAGGAGCCCAAGCGTGACGGCACTTCCAGGATTTGGACGGCCCGGTCGGATTACAAGCATGATCTGGCGGCCCCATAAGGATTTAACGGGCGAAGAACGGTATACAATAAAAGTTTATTCCCCACATCCAAAGTGGGGTTCTTGTTTTCTCTGCACACCCCGCGCAGGAACACTCACCCCACCCCCTCTCCTCTTCTGCCTCATCACACCACCCACAATCAATCATCATCCTCTTCACCACTCATCTCACCCCACCCCCTCTCCTCTTCTGCCTCATCACACCACCCACAATCAATCATCATCCTCTTCACCACTCATCTTCACCACCACTCATCATCCTCATCCTCATCATCGTTGAGTAAAATGTGAGGAAGTCTCAGGCGGGAGCCCCCTCCCTATGGGGCCCGCAGATCATGTTGGTAATCCGAGCGGGTCATCGGAACCCTGTAACTGTCGTCACTTTTGGGCTCCCCAGGCCTGAAAATGGAGGAAGTCTCAGGCGGGAGCCTCGTCTGTGAGTGAATTGGGAGGAAGTCTCCGGCGGGAGTTCCCTCCCTATGGGGCCCGCAGATCATGTTGGTAATCCGAGCGGGTCATCGGAACCCTGTA